ATTTATGTGTAAATCATAGAATCTCACATTAATAAAGTTATCCTTTTGTAAAATTAAAGTTTTAGAATTGATTTTCACATTAAATATGTCATAAAGAAACAAAAACCCTACAAACAGCAGCAACTTGTGCACACTTGGATAGGATCTAAGCTCATTACGTTTGTTATAGATAGAACCCCCCCCCTCCTGTTTACAGAGCTTTATCAACCAACAGACAACACTGTTTCATTTTTTCTGAAAGAATATCTGATTCTGCACACGGCAAAATGTTGCATAAACTCCCAGCTTCTGAGTGTTCAGGAGTTTGCAGCGTGTCTCAGCTGCAATTTGTGATGAGACTCAGACAGGAAGTGGTCTTCACGTCTCATCCAGCCCATCATGTGCCGATAAAACTTACAGAAAAGTTCTTCTCCAGATAAACGAAGAACCGCTGGGACATTATTCTGTCCTAAACATAAGACTGATTCATATTTTTGGAGGACGATTTTGTTTTAGTGAGTCGAGCATCACAGCTCTCTTTTATTTCCCCCACTCTCCCTCCCTGTGTGGGAGGGGAGCTCAGAGCTCRCCCTGCGTGCCTGTTAACAGGTAACAGCAGGTACAGGAAGCGACAGCGGCCAAAATACCTCAGAAACTTGCCCAACTAAGCTAAATCTGTGAGATTCAGCGTTTTATACTGGATTACTTTGGTTAATTCTGCGATTCTTTCTGCGTTTCATTAGCAACTTATAAACAGAAGTGGAGCAGGAGAAGGTGGATTCTGATTGGCTGTTGTCGCACACATTTCCGCCATGTTTGATCAAGAGGCTCACAGCTGATCATCGTGATCGACCTGAATTTTTTCTCGATCAATAATCACCCAGCCCTAGCTGGTATTGGTATCAGGACACCACTGTTATGGCTGCAGGAGAAACATGTTTGGTAAACTTGGATCTCAACGTAGTTGAGTGTTAATTTCTCAACCATTTCCAAATAATTTTGGTGCCATTTATCCTTATCAGTAGTTGATTAAATATAACAAATTCCTAGATTTTCTTCTTATTAATTTAAATATTTGTACAGAATTTCCAATCCTGTAAAGTTATTTTGATAGAACCTTTTGCTCATGGAGGCATGGTAACTCAAAGCCAACAGCTTAGGAATCA